TTGTACTTAAAATATTTGCATCATAAAATCCTTCATGGGAGCCAAACTTCAGCTTCGGGAGGAGCCTCCTAGCAAGTGGCAAACTTGCCTTCAGAGACCGGAGAAGGGCTCCTGCTACCAGCACCACCTTCCAGCCGTTGATCTGCTGGGGCCGACGACACCCCGGGAATAGAGTCGGAGCATCATGAGACATCCACAGTGTCTGGGAACAAACTCCAAATGGCTTTTCTAAGCCAACAACAGTGTGAGGTGACTCAGCAGTTAGTTGAGCAATTCAGAAAAACGTGTTTTTCACACATTTAATTGATCCTGTGAGCAAATAAGCGCTGAGGATGAAAGATGAGTAATTGTTCAGTCTCGCCGTGGGAGGGCTCTATCCTCGTTTCTTGTACTTTCCTCCTGTGTCCAGTACGGAATGGATCTTCCTGGGGAGTGACAGGCCAATGCACATATTATTTGCTTTAAAAAATTAAAAATCAGAAAATAAAAACTTACCATTTACATCTGAATTCAGAAAGGAAGAAAAAAAAATCTTGTCTTCAGCAAAGGATGCCTGATCTTATAGGACTCATAATGGCAGCCTTTCAAAATGAAATTCTCTAATATGGGGTTTAGCCTACAGAAATGAGACGTATGAACACAGGACACCCATGTATTTTTTACTTTGCTGAATGGGATATGAAAACTCGAGGAAGAGGAAGAACAGGGGATGAGCACTGGCTGGGAAGATGGTGAATTTTGGAGAAAAGCACCCATCTAATGGGAAATAAGTCCCTTCTACATGGAGTTCAATGACACTCTCCCCCCTTCCCCATGAGATTTAAGGTAAAATATCAGTTTCTTGTTGAAAAAAAAAAAGCTTATGCTCAAAATTATAACCCTCATCCTCCACACATTAAAAAAAAATTAAATTTAATTCAACCAGCATTGTGATCTAATCATTACTCAGAGCTGAAGGTGGCTTTCCATTATAGCATCTCCGTCACTCTCACTTTCTGACCTGTGAACGTTCTTATTAGCTGCCTTATTAAGATGATATCCTGTGTCTGAAGTAAGAAAAGAGGATTATCTCCTTACCTGACATGTCACCAGTGGAGTAATCTTTGTTAAAAAGAAAAGGAAAGGAAAGGAAAGGAAAGGAAAGGAAAGGAAAGAAGAGGAGAGGAGAGGAGAGGAGAGGAGAGGAGAGGAGAGGAGAGGAGAGAAAAAAGAAGAAGAAAAGAAGAAAGAACTGAGTTACATAGACATTTACATTTTTGGCACACTATATGATCCACAGAAGACATCCATAATGGGATATACTTAGAGGTAATTAGATGAACCTTAATGACTTATTCTTCCAGGACGAGCAAACAAAACCAGAAGCAAAGTACTATCTGCTTCATCTTAGGTTGATTTCAACTGGGGCAAGACCTGGGTGTCAAGGACTCATAGGATGAAATAAAGAACACATTAAACTAACCAGAAAAATATAGAATTACATACGCGTTTTACATGTGCTATATATGCCCATTACACTCACATGCAAACACGTGTACTTTCTAATAAAAACTATTGGAGAAAGGAGGGAAGTTTGGAAGATGGTGGCCCTATTTGGGTTAATCACCAGCAATGATGTGGACAGAGAAGCCTTGTCCCTTCCCTCTGGCCTTGTTTTCAGACTCATGTGGGAACAGGATCACAAAAGCACACTGCTGGCCAAGTGGTCAGCTCTGTTCACTTATTTGCTGCCCTTTTTCAAAATGGGTTTGCAGTTAAATCAATTGCCCCCACTCAAAGAAACAGAAAATTCATTTGGTTTATGGTCCTTTATTGGATACATCTGACTTCTGTGGCAGAAGTGAGAAGCCAAGGTGCCACTTTCCTTCCTATTAGTGGGACAGCCCTATCAGCCATGGGATGCTTTGACTTCTGAACTCTTTGGTCTAACCAGCCACAGGGAGAAGAGATGGGTGATAGTGTTTAACTTACATATGATACAGAGGTCTTATATCATATTATCTTATAAACTAATTATAAGTATTTATAAGACTTTATATAACCTTGATGGACTGAGTGGTGATCATGTAACCGTGGGACCATCTTTACTGAGGGACAACAGAGTCACTCCGTTCCCATCCTCATCTGAGTGTGGGCCTTGGTGGTGCCACTGACCCCCTTTTGTGACTTGGGACTACCCCCCCCCCCCACCAAGGCCATAGATCCCAGTGCCCATGCTGACTACCCTTGGCCTGGCTCTTGCTGTAGATATGCTCTTCCCGTGATCCTGCCGGGTCCTTTGGAATTGCTCTGGAGCCAGAGGTCAGCCATTTGGACAAGACTGCTCTGTAGAGCATGTCCCCCTTCTGTGCTGACTCATATCTAGTCCTACTTCTCTCAGTGTAGCTCAAATTGTCAGTTTTAATCTACAAATCCCTTTGTGATTGGGGTCCCCCAACATACAATATTACCTCTCCTGCTCCACTTCTCACTGTCCGTTGAGATAAACAACCTGTGAGTTTTGGCATTTGCAATGGGCCTCCTGGTCAGTGAGAAAATTAACAAATCTGTCCATCTTCTCTTTTCTACTTCCCCACACCTCGCATGCATATAAGAACCAAAGACGTGCCATTTTCTTGGCTTGCTACACACCTCTCATAACTAATCCTGAGGTGACAGAATTGGATTTAGTGACAGGCCGAAGGCTGCTATGACAACCAGCTGATGCAGGCACCCCACACGGAGGGAATTTGCAACAGGTCTGTGCAAAGCTTGCCCTTTGCGGGAGGCGGGGGGGTGGGTGGTGGTGGTGCGCACAGGGATATTTGTGCGCAAGACGCATCTAGGGTAGATCTAGTGCCCTTTATGCCTTCAAAGTACCATGTACATATTAATGCATCTAAAAGATATAGCAAAGCCTCATTGTGTAATTTGGAAATAAGAACTGGTTGGTATTGAAAGTGGAAAAGAATCTGGACTTTTCTCTGGGCTCATGGTATGCAAGGCTAGGACTCCCTCAAAATGTTTGGCTTGCTGAAATGATCCAGAGGGAGCAAAGGAAAATAATGGGAATATTATGTAGCTTTCTGAATAATTTTTCTTTTATTTAGCTGTAGAGTATTGGCTCCTTCAATTCCAAATTCCCCAGGCTTCTTTTGGCAGCCTGGGCCTTCCAGTAAACTCATTAAGCAGGTCCTTTTCTCTTTCTTGTTTCCTCCTCAGGTGTTCAAGTAAGCAGTCAATCATGCACTTCCATCTCTGCACACAGATATAAGGAAACTTTCAACTTTTTCTAAATACGAAAAAAGAAATCACATCTGCTAATATACTTAAAAAAAATAAATGAACAACCCAAAACCCAGCTAGGAGTTTCCACAGGAGCACTAGAGACACCACAAAGAACAGGAAGAAATATGCCTTTTATTAGAAGTCTCATATGTACAGGGAAAGCTGTTTCTCACAGCTCAAGGAAGGCTGTAAGAAAAAGCTGCTGTCATCCAAGGTCACTGTGCTTACATTGGTAACACCATTTAAACATTGCCACACATTATGAACACATAGAACCATATAACAGAAATGCAAAAGAGACACAGGTACGTGTGGACACTTCACATATTTTCTAAAAACAAGTGGACACAAAAATACAATGTGCCAGTAAAAAAAAAAAAAGGCATATCGGTACATGTCTTTTTTTGTTTGTTTTCTCTTTTTTTGTTAATACATGGTGTGCTGAGCTTTCATCTCAAGCTTTCTTCACATCGGGATTTGCAGGCACTTTAGCAACCCAGCCATGGTTCACAACACATGACGTTCAGACGGACAGCTGAAACACAGGAGCAATCGAGGTCCTTGTGACCCCCACACACATTACAATATTGACATGAGAGCAATCTTTTGTTACCACTGTTTGGTGATATAACAGCTTTTCCCTTATCTGTCTTCGTTTTGTGGCAGAATTATCTAGTAGCATGGATGGCATCACCAGGCAGAGATACAGCATCTGGGTGTGCTAGACAAACGTGATTTCCAACTGACTTTAAAAACTGTAGCAAGCCGATGAGTTTTTAGAATCCCAAAACGACTGTCTGATTTATCTTTGTCTCACTCTATGCCCTTCCTGCCAACCTGTCAAACGAAAACTAATTAAAATAATTACTGGGATGTTGTGGGCCAGAAGCTCATCCTGGGAGAATTCTTTTCTTAGCTACCACCTCCCACGTCATGATATGCACAGGGCCGGTGGGCAGGCTCCATTCTTCCCCAACCAGAAGTCACTCCCTGTCCCTCGTCCCCCACACAGAGCTGCGCTGACTCAACACACGTGTCAGGAACATGACCGAACAAGTGTATTTATAAACACAGACTACAATGATCGCTTTATTGGTAATGTCGAGTTATAAGGCAGTTGCAAAAGGACCCCCATGATAACCAGACAGTGTTGGATATGGCTTAGCTTCTTTACTAGGATGAAGGAACTTTCCTTTTGCAAGGAGCTGGGAGAGAACAGGGAAAACCACACTGATTACAAAGTACCATAAATGACTGTGCTGTGAAGTACCATAAAGCCCCAATTTCTGGTGTATGTCACCCACTTTGATCCACCAGAGATTGGGATGTCGCCTAACATCAAAGAAAACCGAAAGGGGAGAAGGAGGGATCAATATCACCTTCAACTTCAAGGTAATTTGTCACAAGTTGTAGGGGGCTGTAACATAAAGCCATGGACATCTCATGGGGGAGGTGAACATTCCTGGTACTCCAGAGAGGTGCAGAGCATGTGAATGCCTCGAACAGATGATTGTCAGATGGTGGGAAATCCTTCCATGAAATAGACACTTGAGACATAGTGGCAAAGACATTAAGGCCTTCCATTTCTTCGCCCATACTGCTTAAAGGCACTGATACCAACAAACAGAAAAATTCCATAGTACCATCAAGGTTTTAAAAAAACTCCCAAAATACAAGTCTTCATAAGAAAATGTCCTTTATTGCATGACATGAAGCCTCCACTCTTCTCCTGTTCAGGAATAGAAGGGTTTCCCTTTCTCAGGAGTCTGGAGTCTGTTCAGCCTAGCGACCTGAGAAGGGGAGGGGGGCACGTCCTGCCGGAAGGGCCCCTTGGGAGGGGTGTAAGTGGGGTCCTGGACTTTCTTGTATGAGTCATAGTTGTTAAGCCCCTCGGGAGGAGGAGGCTGCTTCTTCATCTGTTGCTCTTTCCGCCTCTGTTCCTGGCGAAGGAGCTCCTGGGTCTCCAGCATCACCCTGGCGTTGAAGCCGTGCCCGCCCAGATAGCCGTTCCTGGAGCCCTGGTAGCTGGAGTATCTGGGGTTCTCCTTGGCACTCTGGAAGCCTTCTCCAGGGGGGTAGTTCTGCTCCCAGGAATCCTGGGACACAGAGCTGGCGTTTTTCCTGCTTTGCCTAGAAAAGCAAATCCCAAAGGTTAGTGTGAGGCTTGGGAGAAGGGGAGAGAGAGAAAGGAAAGGGAGAAAGGAGGTGGGGGAGGGGGGAAGTGGAATATGCATTTGAACCTCTCAACCAATAGTGCTGCACTGCAATCGTGTGTTAGCCACAGTGATGTGGGCTGGAGGATTAACACAGGACTGTCCTCAGCAAACAATGGCTAAACAGGACAGAACACTGAGGGCTTGGGTAGCTATCCAAAAGTAAGGGTCCTCCTTCTGTGTCTCCGTAGGTACTATTGATTCTGCATAGGGTAACAGTACCTCCTGCAATTCAGACACACTGGCAAGACTCTGTATGGGGGTATTAGTGATCTGGCAGCTTCTACCCCAGCAGGAATTGCTCGTTTTAGAATGTTACAATTCAATCCTAAACAAGCAAAACAAATATTTTACACAGTTGCCACCATAATGCCCGAGACACTAGCTAATAGGAAGTACATGTAATGGATTACAATATGAGTTCAGTTATGAAAGATTTAAGTCTAGACTCCTATATGATTAAAAATGCAACAGGCAGTCCCTTAAAGTCCTGGCTTTCGAGATGTATACGTCAGCAACCGACACTCTCCAGCATATATGCTCATCAGGCCTGTAGAACCTGGGAAGTCTGTAAAGTAAGCACTATTTTCCTACACACCATACCCTCCCTGAAGGCAGGGATAACCTACTTAACTCCCATTCTGTCACTCCAGAATAGGGAAATAAATCAGAGCCATATAGAAATTTCTAAGTCTTATCACTTCTGCAATAAAGTTGCACATCATTTCAGGAAACATTATTGTTTTGAAACATCTTTAATTTACTATCAAGTCTCTAGATGCTTTTATGAATTTACAATAAGATTGGCTATGATAAAGTAAAACAATTTGTGCCAGAAAGGAAGACATGTCCTAATTTTTCGCCTTAAAAATGGAAGAGAGGAAGAGAGAATTGAGTAATAAAACAAAATATATTGCTCCATTTATCAATAAGAAAATCATTTGGCGACAGTATGTATTGCTCAGGCTTTCACATCAACACACACAACATGACAGGATGTTCAGAAAGACTCTGAAGGGAAAATGTGATCTATGTAGACAGTGGGGCTCTCACAGGAATGAAGCATTTGCATTTTTGAACATTGAGAAGTGCCATCAGTATGGTTTGGGATGAAATCTCCCCATTTTCCACATGGCCTTAAATGTAGTTGGGGGTGTCCAGCATCATCTCTGGATATGACTGTGATTAACTGAACAGTGTCCAGTATCTTTATCTGGTTCTCTTTTAATGGGAATCAGACCATTCGTACAATCAGCCCAGGCAAGAATCCTTAGATTTGATGGAATAGTTTATTTGCCTAAAGCACTGATTATCTTCACTTAAAAAGTCATAAATTAATCTGCCCAGGGACATGAATGATGGAAAGTGCCAGCACGAAACCAGGGATTTGACATTAATCATGAAACTTTAATTAAAACAACGAACTTGTTACTGATGTTACAGCAACAAAAGTGGAATTCCTTCATGGGTTAGTAATCAATTTAAAGATAACCAGAAGTAGGCCACAGAAATTTCACCTCTTTTTCATCCTTAGCCTACTGAGATCCACTAACCCTCTCCAGCCCCCAACCCCCAACTCTATAAAGCCCAAGGCTTCGCTCTATGGCTCTCATGCACCGTAAGCTGAGTTTTGAATCATTTCAGGAAGACAGAGTCTTTTTTTATTTAAACACATCAAGAAGTCACTCAAGGTTTGTTAGGGACAGAAATTATGATGATGTGAAAGAAGAATTTCTTGTAGCTAAAATTTTCTTCAAACTAAGCCATCTAGAGGGAAGAAAGAAGACCTCACTGAGGGTTGAAGTAAGATATGTGGGGAAAGAACATATACATAGATACAGGCACACAAACACATACATACACATGTTTCCGTGGTAAGTGTGGTATCAACAAGCTCTCAATTAAGGAGAGGACAAGAAATGATCAGATCATAGAGAAACTCGAGAAAAGAGCAGACAATGAAAGTTTTCTACATGATGCTTAGGTTCAGGTAGATAGAGATTCCAATCCTGTCTGCCACTTGCCGGCTGTGTGACCCCAGGAGGGTTATACTGTTTGGGCCCAAGTTGTCTCATCTGTGAAACAGGCCAGATATCTAACCTCATAGGATACAGGGAAAAATAAGTGAAATAACACATGTAAAATGCTTAGAAAAGTGTGTCACACAGTAAATGGCTGACGAATGGGTGTTGGAAGAGTAGTTTGAAGGCAAAGTCACTTTGTCATCAAAAGATTAGCCTCTGGGTTTTGGGAGACATCTTTGTGACCAACGGAAAACAATAAACAAAATATTAGCTTTCCAGGGTGCCTGGGAGGCTCAGCCATGAAGTGTCCGGCTTCAGCTCGGGTCATGATCTTGTGGTTCGTGGGTTCGAGCCCCATGTGAGGCTCTGTGCTGACAGCTCAGAGCCTGGAGCTTGCTTCGGGTTCTGTGTCTCCCTCTCTCTCTGCCCCTCCCCTGCTCATGTTCTCTCTCTCTCTCTCTCTCTCTCTCTCTCTCTCAAAAATAAATATTAAAAAATTTTAAATAAAAATTTAAAAAAATATTAGCTTTCCATCCTTTGTGAGAAGGATTGGGTAGAAATCAAGAAGCAGGGAGAGGCACCAAAGAATAACTGAAGAAGCTTCTCTAAGTGAAGACAACTCCACTTTCTGAGAGACTGGAAAGAAGCTTTTTACTGTCCCATGATTGCTTAGTCAAAGGCCACAAATAACAACAGCAGCAATCTCTGTTCACTGAATTTCTTTATAACCAACAGACAGGTGTGTCTGGTCCTAGAATGAGCCTACTAGAGTTTTCTGAATCCACTCAGGGCAAATGCCCTGGTTTGGCAATAGCTATCACTTAATGATTGTAACTGCTTCCAGTATGGCTTGAAGACCACCATCATGTAGACCATCATCTTACACCAAAGACCCAATGCCTCAGGAAAGCAATTTAGTCACTAAGGTGAGGAGGACATAGAAGGATGAAGAAAGATATAAATACCAAGGCTGACAAGTTGACAAGCAGCTGAGAGACATAATAAATGGCCCTGGTGGGGAGACCATGTCTAGGTGCGGAAGACAGAGGGGAAGTGAGGTGTACAGAGCAGAGAAGTCTACCACCAACAGATGGGAAGCCATGGAGAAGGAAAGATGAAGAGCAAATGGAGAGTCAGCAGGAGAAGAAAAAATACATATATTTCATAAAGGATCTTCAGTAAGTCTTTCTATCAGTGACTATAACTGAACATGCTTCTACTCAGTTTTAGAGTTGTCTTTTGAACACTAAGACAGTAATCTAGAAATTTTAAAAGGATTAAAGAAAAGAGAGTAAAGAAGAAAAAAGAATAAGTAGTTTAGGAATAAAAAAAAATTTAAAATGAGATTTAAGTGTGGGTCCTCTCAGGTCTCCTTTCCTCCCGAACTAGTGATACGACTTGACTAGCATCCCTTACCGACATTTCAAAATATAATTTGAATTCCGTCTATAAGTTGGTTATTCACAGTGAGAATTTACACACCACTTCGGCTTGTATACGTCCCTTCAGTTCAGACCCCTTTCTCTAGTGCTACTGGTACAAAGTCTTGACCATTTGTTTTATTTTACACTCCACTTTTCAAGAGAACTTCTGTTGTGTGTGAAGTCTTTTTGGTATTGAATGCCATACCAACTTGTTTAGACAAAACTCTGCTGTCAACATCTGAAAAGCAGAGGTCAAGCGTCTTTGAAGAATATCACATGTCAGAAATCTGGTTTTGACTCAAGCCCATGTAGGTTCTTGCTATCTCCCTCTGAGCTCCTCTTTGGTCTTGTTACCTTCCTCCGGATCTCCGCACACAGCTTTTGTCAAGTGGTGCCTAAGCTGGGTGTGGCTCAGCATTCCTAAATCTTCCCACAAATATACACTCCCATCCAGAAACTGTTCTCTAAAGGCAGAGAACAGGCTGTAGGGACCTCCCAGACCTCTTGCCTGAAACAACTTTTTCATCGTGGGATTTCTGCTTTTGTCATATCAACACAGAATAAAATGCCTAGTAGTAATAAGGGGGCTACGCTGAACCCAGAGGGAGTTTTTATTATTTAGGGAAACACTCCAGACGGCAGCAGTACCAGCAGCAGCAACCCTCCCTTCCATGAATTAGATCCTTCAGAAGGGAGAAGGGGAGCGAGGAAGGGCAGCCTAGAGGAGGAGGTGGAAAAGACAGCGGAGCATCAGTTTGGAATATGGAGCTACCTGGGAACACGACCAGGAGAAAGTCAGTGATCCTCTTTGCCCTCTTCCCCAGGACTGGGACCCTGGCGGTTCTTCTCACGCCAGGCTGTGTACACTTCTGGGCCCTCACCCACCATCTCTCCCACTTCCCTTCCTCAGCCCTGTGCATTTCCCACCTCACTCCACCTCTTACATGTGCTTTCTGATATTTCTCCTCCGTTTCTTATACTCTCAAACACAACTAAAATTTATGAAGTCAAACAATTTGCCAATCAAATAAGATCACAGCCCCTGCACAGGCAATGTCATTCGCATAGGCCGTGATGTGCTACTGACCGTCAGGTATGTCAATCCATCGACCTGATCACACTCATCCATCTGATGGAAAGCAAGCCAAATAGGCAGGGTGGAGGGATTTTATACAGAAGAACCTTTATGTATAATCCTGGAATGTTTCACATTTGATGCATGGGGTTGGTTCATACAGCGGCCATCTTCCATATGCTAAGGGAAGTAGAGCGCAGAGAGGAACTTTGCACCTACACCCACTGACATTCCAGACTTGGGAACCAAAACCCTCAGTAGCAATGAGCCTTATGAAATCAGGGTTTAGGGAACGGGCAGGTGTGGGTTTCAATTCTGGCAGAAATTATGGACCAGCTGTGGGACCTTGGGGGAAGTTACTTAATTTCTCTGAGCTGCTTCCTTGTAAGATAACATGTTCAAGGTCCTGTCCAGACCTAAATTTCAGTGACTCTTACCCAGAGTGGGCTAAATAAATAGTTATTCTCCTATGTGAAAGAAAAAAAGCAATTCTCTTATTTAAAAGAAAAAAATAATTTAGTTTTCAAAGGAGATAGAGCTTTCTAGATGAAAAAAGAACAACTGAATGAACAATACTACAATACTAGTAAACTACCATCAGGAGAATGACGCTACTCATCCTGGTAGATTTTCATTCACACCCTCATTCCCTTGTCTGATCCACGTCAATGTAGCCAAGTCCCTCGCTGTTATTATAGGGATTATTTAACATTTACAGGGACTCATCCTTATTAAAAATTAGAAGCAAATCAAGACCACTTTTGTATAGGTCAGTCAAGTTTACACAGAGAAACATTGCCTCCACACTGCTCTGCTCAAAATCAAAGCAATCTACTTGATACAAACATGGTAAGTGGATTTTTTCCACCAAAATGTTTTTGTCACCTGGTTTTGAAATAGAACAAATGCCTGTAAGAATTGTGATTATAGGAGTGAATCATGGGAAGTTTGGGAAGATGAGTATTTTTAAATAGGTACTTTTATTCTTCACTGTGCACGGAGGAAATACTCAGATGGGAAAAGGGCTATCATTTCAGGGTATTAGGGCTCGGTCACCTGAGTGCTCTCCAGGCCTTTGGCAGAGAACCCGTGGGGCTGAGGTACCTTCTTGGGGGGAGCACGGCAGATACCAACCCCCCCCCCCCCCCCCCCCCCGCCCCGTTTCACGGAGCTCTAGGTTTACACAGCATCAGACACTCTATTCACCCCACCAGCCAGGCAAAATAAGCGTTAGCTTTCCATTTTTCAGATGAAGAACCCGTCCAGTCCGCGGCCACCTGGGAAGTAGCAGAACCAGTACCAGAGCCCGGGTGTGACCCCTCAGCCCGATGCTCCTATGGCAGATCATCTCGCTCGCGGTTAGGGAGCTTGGGGGTGACAATGCCGGCCTCTCCTGCCACACTTTTCTTTCTTCCGGGGGGCTTCTTTCCAGGGGTCAGATGGGGGGCAGGCTGAGCAGCGCCCTCTGCCTGCCGGCTCCCGCAGGACGAGCGCGTGGAGGAGGGGCTTCCCGCGGGGCCGGGCTGGGACTTACCGGGGCAGGGAGCTGTACTGGCGCTGGGCCTGCTGGAACCCCTCGCGCTCCTCCTGCCGCTGGCGCTGCATCTGCACCTCCACCGACACCGAGTGCCTGCCGCTCTGCGCCGCCGCTCTGGAGTTGGGCTGAAGGGCAAAAATGCGACACGCTTAGCGAGAGAGGCAGTCTGGATATCATGTGGCCGGTGGGCCTCATTCCGATTCTTAAGGATTGACCTAGAAACATGTCACAGATGTGGTGAGTTTTTAAAAAGCCAACTGCAGTTTTCCCAAGTGTGAGAAAAGAGGTTATCTATTTGCTTTTATGAGCCCCAAATACTCAAGCATCTTAAATTTTGATTATGGCTTCAGAATGGTCTGAAATTGAGAGGCCAACTTTTCTTTCTCTTTTATTTAATGTTTATGTTTGAGGGAGAGAGAGAGAGAGCGAGCGAGCACAGGGGAGGGGTAGAGAAAGAAGTAAGGGACAGAGGATCAGAAGCAGGCTCTGTGCTGAGAGCCGTGAGCCCGATGTGGGGGCTCAAACTCACCAGAAGATCATGACCTCAGCTGAAATCAGACCCTTAAGACTGAGCCACCCAGGTGCCCTGAGGGGTCAACTTTTCCAGTCTTCCTGATGGTTTGGTAAATACCAACATTAGACACCAGTTTGCATCCCCTGTATATCCAGCAAGTACAGGGGAGCAAGGCTCCTCAGGAGAGCATAAGATGCCAATGTCAAAAATAAATAAGTAAATAAATTTTGCTATAATAATTCACAGAAGTGGGAAAGTCCATGGGTGTGCACTTGCAAGTTGGCTGTGCTGGTGAATTTTCTCAGCGGTTACCTATTTTAGGCTAGCAGTAGGGCTACAATAGAACTCATTCCCCTTCTCCTAAGGGGTGATGGCTAAATTCTGAATGGAGATTCGTTGACAGTAGGCACCGTTCGCCATGTGTAGGTCTCCTCCAACCCAGGGGTGGCAGTCAAATGGAAACACTCATCAAAAGAATAAACCCTAACAGCTAACAGCTCCTTGAATTGGTTATGAGACAATACATTTTCCCTTACTTATTAGGAAATGGCATTTTTACCTAGGTTAATTATACCCTATAGAGAAATTTCTACTCCTTCTGGCTAAATACTTTGGTCAGCAGGTCATCCACTGATTGCTGCCTCTCAGCAAACTCAGATATTTGGTTGTGTATATTGTGCCATGCAGATCAAGCCCCTGTGGATGCTTCAGCTTCTCACTGACAGTTTTTAGCTTACCTTCTAGATCTGCCCTTTGAAAATGAAAGTGGTCTGTTCAAAATAGACAACGATGCCTCTAACTCTACAAAACACCCAACAGTGGTTTATCGTAGCATCAGTGACATTCACTAAGTAATCCTTTTTGGCACTTGCTAACCTCTGCTCCCCTTTGTGTGACGCAACATTGTGCAATAGGCATATTCTGAATGAAGAATGCCTCTTAAAAACAAGCTATCGATTTTCTCTCGTAGACACCAATGGCAGACTTTGACTTGATAATAGTTTCCTAAAATAACAGTCTTTGCTTTCATTTGGAGAGTTGTAAGGTAGCATGTGGGCTTGTTACTTAAGGAGTGGCTCCTGTGGTTGGCTTTTGTGTGAACAGAAAGAAAGCATCATCTATTGTTCTCTTTCTGCCTGGCCAGCATTATCTTATTTGTGGGTAAGCAGTAATAAGGATTATATGGGGCAAAAATTTCAAAGCATATGGGCATAGTCAGTGGGCATATTAAAAATATCCCGATACAAAAATAATGTGTGAAGAGATTAGGCTTTACAATACCCCAGTCTCTACTAGTGGATGTTTATAACCACACTCACTGGAACAAATGTGTGTTCTGAGACCTGCTCCACAACACCGTTCAAATAACACATCAGTGGTGCCTTGAGCGAGGAAAACACTTTGTCGAGTGAGTTCTGCTTATGTAAACAAAGCGTCAACCAATTGTTCATCAACTACATTAAAGAAGACAGACATTTTCTTCCATTACACTTGATGAGGCTGGCCAAAAAGAAAACTGAGCGGCTCTATTGTTCAGGGTGAGGCTTGGGAAGCTTGAGAGAAGCCACTGGACAGAGGGAAAGCAAAGCAAGAAAATACTACACAATTTTCTTTCCACCCTCAAAAAGAACCACGTTTCCCTTTCCTTTTCACTCAGTATAAGCTATATACATGTGTCAAGCAGTCTTGAGAGATCTGGCATTCTGCAGCAGGATTTAGTAACGGGCTTCTTAAGCTCATGCTGTTCTGTGACACACTGCTTGTGGAGATGTGAAAAGAAAATGCAAGGTCTTGTAGACATTTCAGGTGTATTTTTAAGTTGTTTCTCCCAGAGGCCTGAAAATTTGATTCTGACAGAAAAAAAAAAAAAGTTGAAAGGCTTTTGTTTCCTCAACTGTGTGTTTTCTGACACTGTGCACCTCAAACCTTATCCATGGCAAGGACCCAGTTGGATCTTGATGAACTCCAATAATAAAATGATCATCACACAGGATCTGAAAACTTAACATGAGTGAATGAGTTTGGTATTGGCAAACTGACATATTTCATACTAGTCTGCCCACTACGATGACTTTTATTCCATTTCTTTTTTCGAAGCATGCAGAAGGGTAGGTTTTTAAGAAGAATTCCCCTTATCTTTAAGATGAAATGTTACTGAGCCACAGATCTCAAGGAAGATTGTATACATGACCAGCCTAGAGCAACACTGACGTAAGTTTATCCTGGCAAGTTTTATACTTGGCCCGAATCAAAAATAACCTGATTCATGACTTCAATGATGATCTCATAAAAATGTAAATTGTGGGAGCAGTATTATAATCGACAATCCTGACTTTTAAATACAGTGGTTTCCATCTCTATGGCAGAAATAGAATAATGTGTCTGGAGTCCAAAATAATAAAAATAAAGAAATGAAGAAAGATAATTTGTAACCCCAGGGAGAAGTTCATGTTTTCTAAAAGAACAGCATTAACAGCTACAACCACAAAGTAACATATATACTGGGAAACACACAGGTAAATTATAATTGTAATAATTCTGGAGATCAAGGGGTGCCTGGGTGCCCAGTCAGTTAAGCGTCTGACTTCAGTTCAGGTCATGATCTCACAGTGTGTGAGTTCGAGCCCTGCATCGGACTCTGTGCTGACAGCCCAGAGCCTGGAGCCTGCTTCAGATGCTGTGTCTCCCTCTCTCTGTCCCTCCCCCATTTGCATTTTGTCTTTCTCTCTCAAAAATAAATAAACATTAAAAAAATTTTTTTAAATATTAATTCTGGATATCTTCCAGGCAATAATAGCTCTGTTTTCAGAATACAAATCTCAGATGACCTGGCCTTGTTTATGATGAAATTTGTGACAAGCAATGACCTTTTAAGTAAAAAAATTGCCAAGGCTGGCAGGGCCATAATAATGTAGAGGTAGTAAATAGAAATAAATACATGGTTATCTGTTACACAGTACACTGGAGGACCATGATATGTAAATTTCTTCATGGCTTATGTTTAAAGCCACAAGCGAAAACTATGCATGTTGCTTTTATAAATGAGCTGCAAAGTATTGGTCTCTATCATGATTATGGAGAGATAGTATTTATACAATACAAAAAATTATATAAAGTTTGGGAAAGCTACATAATTTGGCTATCACTTATTAGTGTAAAACAAAATATCAAAAATCACTGGTGAAAACATAGTGTTTTCACCAGATTTCATTAACTAAACATTTTTCTCAGTTAAATAAAATCATTCTTATTTTTCCAAAATAAGAATATAAAACAAAACTGTTAAGACTAAAGAAAGAACAAAAATAACTATACAGCATACAAAGTGTCAGTACCATTTAGAGCCAGGAATATTGGAAGACTTTTAGAGCTTAATCTATGAGTGCATGTGTCACTTATGAAATAAAATTCATGACTCTTTTATTAGCATTTATAGAAAATAATTTTTAAATACTCTAATTTTTCTTCACATAGTGTGTAAGCATATGTGTGTGTGCACCTGTATATCTTCACATATACACACATATATGTACTATTCTTACAAATGATACTTTTGAGTGAGTTTTCTATTCAAAATGAATAAAATTTTCAAATTTTCACCTATGTTCAAGGGCACATATGGAAAACAAAAATAAGATACAAGTTCAACTGCTTCAGAGGAAAAGTGATGATAAAGATAATGATGGTGACAATAACTAAAAGGACACACATCCACCTGAGATTTGGAATTCCTATGTTGGCAATTCAAACTTGCTGTAACCCTAATATAAATTCCACATTCTGATAAAATGGTAATTTAAAGATTTGGTAGAGGGTAGGAAGACTTTTATGCCATTGAATCATGTAAAAAGCATAAACCGTTCACTCTGTTTAGAAGTGGCAACTGCTGGGGCGCCTGGGTGGCTCAGTCAGTTCAGCGTCCGACTCTTGGTTTTGGCTCAGGTCATGACCTCACAGTTCACGGATAGAGCCCCTATCTGGGCTCTACGCTTACAGCATGGAGCCTGCTTGGGATTCTCTCTCTCCCTCTCTCAAAATAAATAAATAAACTTAAAAAAAAAAAGTGGCAACCACTAAGCTTGGTAATTATTCTGTATAGTAGATTCATTTACAACTTTTAATCAAAACAAAATTAACTTTTGTCTATACATCCTGCCTTCACAGCCTTCCACGTCTATCCCATCACACAAGATACTGTTACAACTATTGATCGAACTCTTGTGGGTTCTGAATGTTGAAAAGCCTAATTGCTACTAATGATGTGAGTAATGCTTGAAAAATCTGCAGAGCAAACCAGTTTCCCTCATAAAATTTTCATAAATACATGTTTGTTTTTTACACACCGTTTGTCTTTCTCTCGTCTTTGCCAACCAGTGTTTGGATCTACTTTTCCCCCTCCTTAAACAGCAGGTATACTGAAAATTGCAGCTCTAAAAATAAGCCAGCCTTCTAGTGTCCCATGCTAATGATGACCAAAGGCAACTTCATTCATTTCTACTACCTGAGGTCTCTGCCGGTAGCACGGCCCATGGGTCATGGAGCCTTCAGCTGGGAGATGGGTCACTGGAGCTAGAAGAAAGGGGTCTACTTTGCAGCACCACAGAGGCTTTT